AATAGCTATACTCAAGAGCAGAGAAGTAACTTAGCAATCAGAGAAAGTCGAAACTGTTGAAGATATTAACTAAATTACGCAGTCAAGTTCGCAGTCCAAAGATGTAGTACACAAGCAAAATGCCTTCAGAACGTCCTATCAAGCAACACATTTCAACTTCTAAGTACAACGCTAGATAATAAAGTATGTAAAAAAACAAAAGACAATTATTACATTGGAAATAGTTTCATGCTGAATTACGTCCTACTTCCAGTCAACATCAGAGGAGTGTATCCTTAAAATTTTATTTAAACTATCCTTCAGCTGTAGAAAATACATGAGATTTGCTGGTTATAAAATCAAAGACACTATACAGTATTAAATTATATTTAAAAGTGTTATCTACTAAACCAGCAAGACACGGTGATTACAAACGAAACTGAAATGCCATATAATGAATATTTACGTGGCTATTTTTGTGAAAGGCATTATATATTACCTTCAAACAGGCCTTAGTTATGTGGTCATTATGCATGTAAATATATGTATGCATATTACTCAAATCTGTGTATTTATGTTTATATAATTGGCTTTAAACACACAAATTTGAATAATATAATACTCGTTCCGCTAAGAATACGTTCTAATATTAATTTATTAATATTAATAAAGGAAATAGAAAATGACAAAAAAACCCATCTGTGGTCACATGAATAATGTGACATTCATTTCTAAAATGAAAAATGAATTGATGTTGGTGGTCATTTCGTAAAATGAAACGTAATGAGTGAAATAACGACTTTATATCATAGTGAATACACCATGCGAAGATAAAATGAATTGGTCATTAGCGTTCATTCACAATAAACTTTCAGATTTTCTTATTGTAACATACTTCGATTCAATAGTCGGTGAGATGAACGTTTCACATGTGTAGAGCCACTGTGTGTTGTTCATACATCCGATGAGAACACAAACACATACAAAATTAGTATTACCTGCTATTAAGCCACCCTCATATGAAAAAAGGAACAGTTAGTGTTCATGATTTTGTCAACCATTACTTCGTTCACAGTATGTTTTATCTTGACCTTGCTCGTAATTCTTAAGAAATATCCCCCAGTCTTCTTTAGAACCATATAATCGTTTTTTCTTGAAAATTATGTTGATAACTATTGCATATATCATAAAACCAACTTTATATAATTGATTTCTAAGAAATACTCACCACCTAAGAAATACTCCCCAGGATCCCTAAGTTATACGCGTTTATTTTTGTCTAGCGCAAAAATATTTTTGAATGACATGCAAACAATTAATTTTAAGACGCATTGAGCAAATTAAAAATAAACATATCCCGAAAAAAGTCTTTTTGGTCTTTTAAATGTAACCATGTATTTGCTTACGTAATAAATAAGCCACGTGTTATTTTCGTATGCATTTAACTGCTAGGTTCAGAAGGCAAAACAAAAAATACATCATATCTCATAAGAAATATACATTAAATAAACCTTAGTAATGGCTGAATATATATTTGTGATGTTTTCATCTATAATTAAGTGCACAAAGTTCACATCATATGACAAACTCAGTTGATAGTATTGTTATATCCTATATGTATTTAGACGTTAGCAATGTGCGTTTACCTCCGTGAAAGTCACTCGGCATTGAAAACGAATATAGTATCACTTACCAATCAGAAAAAAAAATGTTTCTATGTTTTTTTTTTTACGTCAGAGGATTTTCCGTACTTCCTTTCCTGTAAAATCAAAAGAATTGTAAATGAAATAAAAACACTTGTTCAACATTGGCGTCATGACAAAATAGGCTAAAAATAACTTTGCCCCATGACGTATACAACATTAGCATAACCATTGGATTATTGATACTGTAAACATCCTGATTTTGTTTGATGAGCGAATGTTCTAAAAATAAAATGCTTATACAAGAATAAATTAGGATACATCAGTATATAAAGGTCGAGTTGTTGTGTCTTCGTCAGTGAGCTGAGAGCAGGAAGGGGTGTGTATACATCCTAGCCACCGCTTTGTTGATGTCACAGAACACATATTATATGAACAGGTTTGCATTATCGGGGTTAATATTATTAATACTATGCCGAGTTACATATTACAAAATATGATTGGTAAACATTCCCTTGCTATCAAACTATTTTTGTTATTAGTAAAATTCCTAAACAGTATCAAAAATTAATTACATTTCAATCAAGGATAAGCCTATAAGCTGTTAATTCTATGAAAGGTATGCCACAAGTTCACAATGTATTTGGAACTTTAACTGGGTCACATATAAATTCGTTAATGTAAGAATGGTCAGTGATTTTTATACCAAACGCAATAATGTCAATGGCAGTTTATAGTTAAAGTCACTTTATCCTGTAGATTGCTGTCGTTATTTTATTCTACATTTTGAAGAGAAGATCATTCCAGTAGCTTCCATCTATCTTATTGTGATGGTTGTTATGATAGTGATGATGAAGTGATGACGGTAGTGATAGCGGTTGCGATATTGGTTGTAGTGGTTGAGTTGATGAAGATGGTGATGTTGTAATATGTGTTGAAGTAGTGATTATTATCAATGGTTTCGGGTTAGTTTGTGTGGGAAATAGGAAAGATAAGGATATAAGGAAGGAAATCTCAGAGATTTACCTTTCATCAAAAACATTTGTTTGGTTTCATCCTAAATCGGAGGTATATCATAAACCACTTCAGTACAGAAAATCTTGAAGTCACTTTCATAACAGTTATTGATCTTAATTTTTAATTTTTTATATCGCTTAGTTGGTAAAAATGACCATATCTCTTAGCACTATGCTAACTGGTTTAGATAAAAATGATATTTTTTCCATTAGGATATTAGATTTATAAAAATATTCAAAACATCTTAGAGATAAAATAAAACGCCAGGCGGGAGTAGGGTTTTATTTTTATTATCGCATGACCCTAATTTAGCTATAAAATCTATCTCAACTTAGTAACCACGATTTCGTTTATAAACCAAATAAAGTTGAAATATTGACGTGATATTCAGGTCATTAGAATAAAAACAAGATAAAGAAGAAAACACTGGTAAAATACCTATTTTTGGGAAAATATAAGAGAAAATAAGTCCACATCAATTACACATTAAGTATACAATGTGTACACAGTAAGTACAATTTTATTTTAGATAAAAAGCCAAACAAGAGCGCAGCGAAAAACAACCACAAGAACACAATGGCGTCAAAAACTGTATCATAGTGAATCAATGAACAACAGACACACGATACCACAACTCCACAAGAAACACCAGTCAGACAAGAAACAACATATATGAAACAAAAACACGTGTACTTGACATTCTTTTGATATTACCAGATATATTAAAATTACTGACATTGCTTTCTGTCAATTTTGATGTTCCCAACGCCGCCTCCCAGGTCTCAAATATAGGCATTAAGTAACACAGGTTCCTAAAAGGACGAAACCGTGATATTATGCAGTTTATCACTGAACTCTACTTTATCTTATTCTTAATTTAGATTGAAAGATGGAATTCACTTGTGTTTAGATTATTTAATTTGAAAATAAATACGCTTGGAAATATCACAGGAAGCAACATTTTTTTATCAAAACTAAACAACAAAGGCCATGTAAACAATACCCAAGAGGTAAACAAGAGACAATATAAAATCAACAAAAAAAAATAGTCACACATGAAACATCAAACACACAACAAAAACACATTAGTCACACATAAAACATCAAACACACAACAACAACACTTTAGTCACACATAAAACATCAAACACACAACAAAAATACATTAGTCACACATAAAACATCAAACACACAACAACAACACTTTAGTCACACATGAAACATCAAACACACAACAAAAACACATTAGTCGCACATGAAACATCAAACACACAACAACAACACTTTAGTCACACATGAAACATCAAACACACACCAAAAACACATTAGTCACACATAAAACATCAAACACACAACAAAAACACATTAGTCACACATGAAACATCAAACACACAACAAAAACACATTAGTCACACATAAAACATCAAACACACAACAAAAACACAACAATCACACATAAAACATCAAACACACAACGAAAACACATTAATCACACATGAAACATCAAACACACAACAAAAACACATTAGTCACACATAAAACATCAAACACACAACAACAACACTTTAGTCACACATAAAACATCAAACACACAACAAAAACACATTAGTCACACATAAAACATCAAACACACAACAACAACACTTTAGTCACACATAAAACCTCAGACACACAACAAAAACACATCAGTCACACATGAAACATCAAACACACAACAACAACACTTTAGTCACACATGAAACATCAAACACACACCAAAAACACATTAGTCACACATAAAACATCAAACACACAACAAAAACACATTAGTCACACATAAAACATCAAACACACAACAAAAACACATTAGTCACACATAAAACATCAAACACACAACAAAAACACAACAATCACACATAAAACATCAAACACACAACGAAAACACATTAGTCGCACATGAAACATCAAATACACAACAAAAACACATTAGTCACACATAAAACATCAAACACACAACGAAAACACAACAATCACACATGAAACCAGAACAACCTTAGAAATAACTACATAGTTATCTAAAATCATAAGATAACGAGAACCAGTACACAGTACAGTAAAAGGTAAACGATACGGTTCCTGATGTTTAAAGTACTAAGTTTATTCTCTAGAATAACCTTCAATTATCACCTTGTCTGTTGAGACGCTCTGTACTCCTTCATTCATATGATATCTGTAATGAATAACAAAATCGTACAATATAACTTCAAATGTCTCTACGAAATAATGTTGTTCATAAGTTAAAGCTTAAAAAAACAAACAACGTAAATCGATTTACCTATTTTGTAATCAATTTCAGGTGCTGAACATGACATTGACATCACCATGGCAACAGCTATAATTAAGACAGCAGAAGACCAAATTACCTGTTCAATATGTCTTGAAATATTCCAAGAACCAAAAGCATTGCCGTGTCTACATACATTTTGTAAAAAATGTATCAATAAATACATAAAAGAGAAAATGTATCAAAATTGGAGAGAAAATGGGTATAAGTGTCCTGTGTGTCGACGGTTTGTTCCAGTGTCTGAACAAATGAATAGCAACCCAGAGTTATGGGCAGAACATCTTGAAAATAACCACGTAGCTAGTTCAATGATTGATGCGTACAAGACAACAAAAGAGCATATGGGAACATGTTCTGATCATCCCAACAACAAAGCGGTATATTTTTGTATTGATCATTCCCGGTACATCTGTTCATTTTGTTATCCTCAGCACCAAGGTTGTTCCGACCTGATCAAACATGACGGGGCACGTATAAATGATATTACTGACAAGTTAAATACTACCAGAATATTGGAACTGAAAAGAATAAAACAAGATATGGATTTACTTTCCGAGCAATGGCAATCGATTGAAAACGTGATCGACAAGAGGCGTTCTGCTCTACAGTTTCTTAATGAATCAGAGCAAAATGTTCGGGACGAAGTAGTCTTAATGAGGGAAAAGATAGATGATTTGATTAGGAGAATAACTTCTTCATATCAAACAAGCACGCAAGGAACAGCAAAGCTTCAAGGACAAACAATCCAACTTCCTTGTCAAGGGAAACCATCGTGGATAACAGGAATCGCAACTATATCATCGGGAAAGCTGCTTCTTGTTGACCATACAAACGGGGCTGTGTTCGTATTTGATAACTTTCTGATCTTTTTGTGTAAAACGAGCATCAATCCTGCACCCTATGACGCGGTGGCATTCACATTCGCAGATGACCATGTGATGCTATCGATTCCGGACAAACGAGAACTCTTAAAATGTCACGTTCTGCAGGATGGCTTTGTTGAAATAGGCCCAAAACTAAAGACCAATATCGCATGTAACGCGGTAACGTGTGATGGAAGATATGTAGCTGTATGCTCCTTTTCCGAATTGCAAATCTTTGAAACTGATGGTAAAATCTGGACGATTGTTTTAGATGAATCTTACGAATCTAACAAGTTCACTTACATCACGATGTCGTCATCACAGAGGAAAGTTTTCATAACGGACCAAACCTATCGCGAACCACACATAAGATGTATAGATTTTGATGGGGTTACCCTTTGGAAAGTCAGTGATCGACTAATCAGCGCCTGTAGTGGAATTTGTGTCAAAGGTACACAGTTAATGGTGACGTCATGGGATTTTGGGAAAATGTTCACTTTGTCATTGAATGGAGATGGCCTGAAAACATACAACAATAATAACATCAGTAACAACAACACTGTAATGTTTCCTTGGAAACTTCACGTATCTGAACAACAGAAGATGATCTGCGTTTCTCAGCACCAAAATACTTTATCTGAGGAAGACAGGCGAACAATAAGATTGTTCAAGGTATCATGATCCATATTAATGGAATAGAAAAATTTACTGGACAAATCTTTAAAAATACTTAACATGAACATTCACATCTTTCGTCGCCATATACACCCAGTTAGACTTTTCGTTTACATCAATAAGAGTATTTGTATTGCTTTGAATAAGAAACATGTGCTTCCATTATTGTAAACAACATAAGAGGAGTACTTTTTGGCAACAATACTGAACTATCCCATCATAGTAAGCCATTTATAATCGTTTTACAGTGACCACAAACAGCGTTTAAGGGTGATGAGCGTAGAAACTAAATGTGATTTAAACCCCAAAAAATCCAACTAACAACTAACGTGATCGCTTTAAACAGCTAATAATTGGAATTTTTCGATTCGCTGTTAGGATAAACAAATCTTGGCGGAAAAAAATATTTGTATATAATGTATTATAGTGTAGACTTCTGTCTCCATAATGTATTACAGTGTAGACTTCTGTCTTCATAATGTATTATAGTGTAGACTTATGTCTCCATAATGTATTACAGTGTAGACTTCTGTCTCCATAATGTATTATAGTGTAGACTTCTGTCTCCATAATGTATTACAGTGTAGACTTCTGTCTCCATAATGTATTACAGTGTAGACTTCTGTCTCCATAATGTATTACAGTGTAGACTTCTGTCTCCATAATGTATTATAGTGTAGACTTCTGTCTCCATAATGTATTACGCTGTAGACTTCTGTCTCCATAATGTATTACAGTGTAGACTTCTGTCTCCATAATGTATTACAGTGTAGACTTCTGTCTCCATAATGTATTATTGTGTAGACTTCTGTCTCCATAATGTATTACAGTGTAGACTTCTGTCTCCATAATGTATTACAGTGTAGACTTCTGTCTCCATAATGTATTACAGTGTAGACTTCTGTCTCCATAATGTATTATAGTGTAGACTTCTGTCTCCATAATGTATTACAGTGTAGACTTCTGTCTCCATAATGTATTATAGTGTAGACTTCTGTCTCCATAATGTATTATTGTGTAGACTTCTGTCTCTATAATGTATTACAGTGTAGACGTCTGTCTCCATAATGTATTACAGTGTAGACTTCTGTCTCCATATGTATTATAGTTTAGACTTCTGTCTCCATAATGTACTATAGTGTAGACATGTGTCTCCATAACGTATCATAGTGAATATTTCTGTCTCCATAACGTATTATGGTGTAAATTTCTGCCTCCATAATGTATTATAGTGCAGATTTCTGACTCCATAATGTGTTATAGTGTAGACTTCTGTCTCCATAATGTGTTATAGTGTAGACTTCTGTCTCCATAATGTGTTAAAGTGTAGACTTCTGTCTCCATAATGTATTATAGTGTAGATTTCTGTCTTCATAATATGTTATAGTGAATATTGCTATCGCCATAAAATATTGTCGTGAAGACAGCTGACGCCAAAATATCTTTGAGTGAAGATATTTTTCGCTATTATATATTGTAATTAAGATATTTGGTATATATATGGTAGTGAAGATATGTTGTGCCATAATCCATCATTACTAATAAAATATCGTTATTACGTTAGTAAAGTTTCAAATCTAGCAAAATATATCGTCATTATGCAGAAACGCTATAGACAGATTACATGTTTACGTGACGTTACGGAAGAGTCACCTGAGATAGTGCGGACACGGATTTTGTGTTTCTGCAGGTAATAGGTATTGACCCTATTCCCAATGTTCTACATCGCTACAATTTGGCATGTGTACGTCTTATGGTTTGTACTTTCATGCAATGCATGTATTTTGATCAAAATTATTCTTGTTCTAGAGAACTTTGAAAATTCAACTTTTGCTTTGTGTATATTTCACATTCTAATAGTGGGCAATAGCGCGTGACAGTGGTACTTACCGGACATTACAACAAGTGTTACCAGTACAGGTAAGCCCATACCTCGCTATCATTGTTGGCTCCACGTGGACGAACTTTGAGTATACATGAACTGTGTTGATTTACGTATACGTTACTATGGATTCGAGCAAAGTGTTATCTAATGACTCTTTCGGGTCTGTTGATGCAACGCTATCAGATTTGACACCTGACACTAATTAATGGCTTAGGTAACGGTGACATTAACTTCTCAGTTTTAAATTCCCTTCTAAAAGATGCATATGTGACCAAACTATTGCAAATAACTAACATGTCTGAGTCGAAGCTGCCATGGTACCGTTCAGATTTGTACTGTCGTGCAAGTAAGATACATGACTGTCCTATTGGAAGACTAGTGATTAGAAAGTCCACCACCAAATGCACTGCTGAATGTAAGTACGCCCGCGATTGCTATCAACTCGAACATTTCATAGCTGGGGACATAGTTGTTGAAGTGATATAGTTTCCCTTTAATCGCGGAATCCACCCGATTCCCAGCAAGTAAACGTTCAGTGAAGAACGTTCATGAAATAAAAGTATTAAACTGATAAAGGAGGATAACTCTCAACTTAAATAAGATGTTGCTGACATTAAACGAGAACTTAAAATGTGGTGTGATACAGTCGACAATATCTTCGTCAATGAAATATCGAATGGTTCCCCACCAAAGAATTTCAATGACCGTATTCACCTATTCGAAAATTGTGTCTTCTGACCAATTTCGGTCCAACATCTTATCCCAAGTCAGCATACTTGAGGAGTCGGTTCGCTCCAATATTGAGAGCTCCGAGGAACTCTTTGTGAACTCTATGGCGGAGTTCCGCTTGAGAATGGATTCCATTATCCGCGATTTTGGACAGGAAATAGGCAAAGAACTATCTGGCCTGAAATCCATTGTTCACAAGACCTCTCAACCTACGTATCACCCTGATATACATGGCCATTTTCCTAGTTGCCTCCTATCTCACTAGGCGTGAACTTATCTTCTCATTCGCCTGATTCGTCTCCTTCTATATCGGCACCTCAACCACCTGCTTGTCCATCATCTCCGTCATGCTCCTATGCAAAGGTGTGTTTTGCTGATATTTTGTCTGCACCACCTGTCCCCGCTGGTCCGTCTGATCAACTTGTCACTAAGTGACTAAGTCACTGAGTGAAAAACACTCTAAGGAAATTCAGTCCGATAAGCAGACCGTTACTAAAAATCAACGTACTGTTACGGATGATCATGCTCCCCAGTCGAAGTTCGTCCTATCTAAGGATTCATATTCACGAAGTGATGACAATGCTAGCGGTTTTGTTGCTGTTTCTTGGAGAAAGACCACACGTCTCTTTCTGACTTGTATGTCATCCAATTGCACAGCCGACGATATCCGTTCTTATCTCGAGCAGAGGAACGTGGCTGCTACTTTCGTCCGTATCCTCAAAAGCAAGAAACTCTTATTCCGTCTCTAGTCGCGTAAATATTCTTTGGTCCGATGTTGGTAAAACTAAGGTAGATTGTTTATGGCCCAAATGTATACGCTGCAGGAAATGGTATACCTATAATCAATGTTATGGGAACGGTAATAACGTTGAACCTGTTGATGGAAGTAGCGTTCTTTCTCTATTTCTGCGAGTAATTGTCTTTTTCATGGCCACGCGACGTCTGATGACCTGGAGTTTGACTGGTATCATGTCGTCAGCCTCCTACCTTCATGATGCCCTGCAGAAGCAAGATGTCGACATCTATGGAATCTTCAAACACTGGCTATTTGACGAAAATGCTCAACTGCTTAACAGTATGCATCCCGACTACTGTAGTTCGCAGTTTGTGACTTCTCGACGCATGCTCTATCTGATCTTAAAACGAGAAAGGGTTGTGTTGCCTTTTTGTGGTAAAAGAACACCTCGAGTCGTGTGACTGTCGTTGCCTCAGATGACGATCATATCGTTATCTTGAAGCTGGTCTCTAATTCTAGTGTTTGGCATTTTAAACAAGTGGATCTACCTAACACGAGTTACGGTTCAGATATTAATAACGACTACGTCGACAAGTTAGACTCTTCGTATGGAAGTTTAAGAAATTCTTGAAACCCTATTGGAAAGGAGAGATGAAAGAGTTACATCGCGATATGTGGCGGTGTATTTGGGATGACGAAGGTCGTCCTCGTGATCCTAACTCTCACTCCTTTTGCTTATACAAGGACGCGAATCGTAAGTTCCGACGTAAACACCGCCAGTTATCAGAGAACCATCTTATTACTCTGAACTCCGATAATGAAGTAGCAGTAGATATAAATTATAAGTCGTTTTGGTCTCCGGTGAGATCTAGTGTTAGTGGTGTCAGAGACCCTGCTGCATTAGTGTTGCACTGGGGGAAGTGTTTCTCCGGTATTTAGTGCCACTCTACTGACCGCCACTTTGACAATGACTTTAAGTCATCTGTCGAATCCGAGTTGGTAGAATTCTTACGCCATGATACATCAGCAACACACTCTTCCGAAATAACTTTTACAGTGGATGAAGTTAAACTTACCTGTAAAAGTCTTCCTCTTGGAAATGCTCCTGGCATTGACTCTATTGTATACGAACACTTAAATGTTGCTTGCGATTCACTTTATGTATGTCTTTGTACATTATTTAATGTTTTCAGAAGGTTTGAATATGTACCTATGTCACTCAAACCTGAATTGATTGCACGTTTTATAAAGATCATAATAAGCCAATGAATGACCCAACTAGCTACAGAGCGATTTCTCTTCTACCCGTTATTCTAAAAGTGTATGAAAAACTACTTTTGATAAAATTAAGTCTATGAACCTTTTTCATGTAATGTCATTACAGCATGATTTTTAAAACCAAGCAAGTAGCTCTATGACTTCATATATCGTGCAGGAAACAATCGCATACGCTTCTGAACATGATAGTAAATTGTTCACTTGTTTTTTAGACGCGTATAAAACCTTTGATTGTGTCTGGCTCGACGGTCTATTTGGGTCTTGACAGAAAAATTGTTAGTATGATTATATCTTTACACAAGGATATGTATAGTGTTGTTATGTATCAAAATTTTTGTGTCTAGAGTGTTTTTGGATAAGCCAGGGAACACGTCAGGG